GGGGGGGAGAAAAGAACAGTAGAAAAGATGAAAATTTATGAATAAGTGATAGTCCAACTAGTTTTATCAGAAGTTTTTCTTGGAGCATGGCTCTCGACCAAGTCGATCATGACATAGTGGTAGTCGTTGTTGTGTATAAATGTTATCTGTATTTGTGTTATCTTGCAATAATTTGTCTTTTATATTACGTACGTTCATTGCTAGACTCTCGTGTTTTCAAGTTTTTTGTTTTGTTTTTGTGCTTGGGTTTGTTTTGGGTTTTGCTTGTTTTTTGTTATTTGGGGGGGGGGGGGTCGTTAATGTTATTATTATCGATGTTATTGATCTTGTTGATATTATTTATCATTATTATAATTACCGGTATATCATTTTTATCATTGTTTTTGTTGTTGGTCTGGTTCTGTTAATTCTTTTCGTTTTAATGTCCTTGGTAAATGATATTGAACAAAACGCAACTAAGTGTCTATATTTCCTCAGAAAGTTCGTAATTATTTTCATAGAAATCGAAGCCCTTCAACAAATGATGCTGATGAAGGTGATTAAGCTAATAATAATGATGAAGATTATTTGTATGATGGTGATGAGGAGAAGGAGAAGCTTAGCAGAAGGATAATAGTCAAAGCTATGTGTAATGATGCATCTTTTGTAGACTACATCTTGTCTGTATGTCCACAGAGTTGGTGACTATCTACTGTGGGTCAACACATCTGAACTGACTGGACAGACGGAGTCAAGAGTCCAGCAAGTGCTTCGTCTCCTGCCCAGGGGACTGGTCAAACTTGTGGTCAGCTCCACACCACCTGATCAAAGTAAGTGTTGCTGTGGACTTGTCTCTCTTGGTGTGACTTGTTCTTAACCTCCCTTTCTTTTCCTCTGCCTTGACTTTATTCCGTTATATTGCTGTGAATGTGAACAACCAAGGGTCCAGCCATGCCGAACGTGTGGTGACAAACTGCCCCCGTTGAATACATGGAAATAACAATGAAGTAAGCACCTGTGACGGCTCAGTAAACCCAGTAACGTTAAATGTAGTTGTGCTGAACAAACAGACATACTTGTTTATTTTAGTTAAATGAGTGAGTGATTTATTGTGTATACTTAAAGTGTCATTCGTTTTGTGCCTTTGTTGGGTTTTTTTCGGGGTCCATAAGTTGTAGAATCTACAGACGGAGCCTTTCCACATACTTACTTACTACCCGTTACGCCATCTGGCGTTTATGGCAGCAACAAAGGATCTCAGCTCTGTCTGTTTTGGGCCATCTTGGTCAACGTCCCCAACGAATGGTTCCAGGTCTTCATTTCAGACACTGCTGTGCGTCTCCAGGTCATTTTGGGTCTGCCCCTCTTGCGATGCCCTTTGGGTGTCCAGTGGAGGGCAGCCTTTACAATAGAGTCTGGCTCTCCTCTTAGAACATGCCCAATCTATCATAACCCATGGTGAAAATGAAAATAACTTCGACAATGATTAAGTTGGACTTCATGGTGGCCCAAAAAGAAACTCTCTGCGTGTGGTTTCCTGAACGCTAAGCTACGCTTTTGTTGTTGTTTTTCCCCTTCATCTTATTCATATTCGCGCATGACCTGTGTAAGGAACGAACGAAATCTCCGTCAGTAATTACTAACAACAGTCCCTTTTACGGCAATAATTACGCAGTGTCTATTTTTATGACTGTGTCTTTACGCGGCGAGAGCATGGCCAAAACGTGGGTAGCGTGGAGATATAATGTACTTATAATAGCAATGTCGTGGGTAGACGCTTGAAACATACTCGGCTGATGTCACAAAACTTTAGGTGGGGTAGACCCGTGTCAGGCTTGTCGGCTCTGCATGGTCGGATCGCGATTAAGATGGAGACTGATCGGTGCGAACATATCAAACGGAATACAGCAGAGGTGTAAGTAAAGCCAGGCCTCTGACGTGGTTACATACAGTGTTTTCTGGAGCGTGTACCGTTGTGCATGTGTCGCCCATCTATCGTCTTCATGGTACTGGATTCAAAGGGTGTAAATGATAGGTAGGTAGCTACTGTATTCAGTATACAAAGCTATTGGCTAACATCACAAAGCAAACTCTTTTTTTAAATTACGAGAGACATCTCTGAAAACAGCGCTAAGTATAAATGACCCACATACCATCAACATTTTAAAAACGTTTTAAGGGCATAAATGAACGGTATAACAGGCCTTTCGTGAACACTCCTTTACTCAACAAAATTGCAATTCTTGTAGCCAAGGTGCTTCATGTGTATTATTTTTGGGTAGGCGAATTTACCGCTACACACGTACCTCACCCGAAACTATGCCATCTTGAGCCATGAGAATCGCTGTTGGTGAACCTGGGGGAAAAAGCAGAAATCAAATTAAGAACAGACCACACTCAAAATCGGCTCAGAAAAATCTGACGAGAATGACTTTTGCCATTAAGCACGTTCTGCAAAATCGGAAAAGTGTCTTCTGTGCTTGACGTCCCTTGGTTTTGCCCATAAGCTGGGTTGAAGGCTCGCACCTTAGACTGCGTATTTCTTGCCAGCTAGGAGATCTGGCTGCTTACATTAGCAGGCAGTGAATGTGCCAGCGACTCTCGTTGTTGAGCCTCCCGGGGGGGGGGGGGGGGGGTCGTGTGGGCAGCCGTTGTGGTCAAGAGATGAAGGCGGGGCAGTAACCGGGGATCATTTCGTGGTCTGAAAGACATCAGTGACATTAATGAAGTCACCAGACGTTTTTTTCTGCCATGTCTGATGTTGGAAAGGGTAGACTATCGAGGGTGATACAGGGAACAGATGCTGCGCCGTATACTTTATGGCGAATCTTGACATGAACAGCTATTATTTGGTTAGGAATAGACAATGGCAGAAGTAACATTGTAAACCAGTATATTATGTATGTGTGTGTGTATGTATGTGTGTGTGTGTGTGTGTGTGTGTGTGTGTGTGTGTGTGTGTGTGTGTGTGTGTGCGTGTGGTTGAGGGGTGGGGGTGGCAAGGCGTTGGGACAAGAAAGGAAGCAGTTCATGTCTCACAGTGATTGTTAATAGATAAGTGTTTTGGGGTGGGCTAAAGAATGAAGAGACTTGTTTCATGGCTTTCTGAATTATGGTCCCTAGTACGCTATTGTATAAGTTTAAACTCTTTTTTTTTAAAGAAGAAATAAATGAGAGGAGCTTGCAAGTAGATGGATGAATGTTCTTGAATATTCTCCAAGCGCTGCTGAATTGTTTTTGTAAATTGGATATAGATCTACAGTGATTAGTTCACGAACGAGAACGCTGTGAATAAAGTGTTGGGAATAGAATGGGTTTTTCGTAAACATTAACTGTGAAATCGATACGATTTCTGATATTTGGAATCAACAAGTATTGAATATATTTTGCATTTTGATTTTTTTAAAGGAAAAAATTACTTGCCTATGCCTCTTGTATCTATGTGTTTGCTAAGTGTGTTTGTATGTGTGTGTGTATGCGTGTGTGTGTGTGTGTGTGTGTGTGCGCGCGTGTGTGTGTGTGTGTGTGTGTGTGTGTGTACTGTGCAACTGTATGTATCAATATATAATGTGTTGTTGGAAGGGGGGGGGGGTCTTGATAGATCGTGAAGGCACGCCACCAATCGTGAATGCATTGTGCCATATAGTCATAAATTTTCGGCAACCCATTGTGTGGACTTGACATTATTTTCCGACTTTGATTCTGGCCGTAATGATCATAACGACGAGAAAAAAAGAGTAATGAACGTTCATGAAAAGAATACGAGCACGGGACAAGGCAAGCTTTCATGGCAGGAGGTTGGAGGGGGCTACTGGCCTGACTCTTCTTCTTTTCTTTCCCTCTGTTACTAGTTTCTCTGTACTGTGTTGGGTCCTTACTGCGTCATCTGGGTTAGGTTTACTTATATAGGACTGGTTTTTGTTTAGTGTTTGTTTATTTTTAATTTTTTTTTCGTGTTTAATTTGAGCAGGGGACCTTGTGATGGCCAAGGTCTCTTTGTAAACAAGTGCAATGATTCCTATCTTCTTCAAAGGACAAATGCTCCTCTTTTAAATGGACTTGCTTCCAGTTTTATACTGTTTTATTGTTTTGTGGAATAAATCTGTGCTGTATTACTGGAATTAAAGACGGCCTGTATGTACAGTGCAAATTGATACCAGGTGACTGTAGGGCGTCCTTGATAGGACCTGGTCCTTCTTCTTTACTATCCCTCTTTTGTCTTTCTGTCTGCCTTGTCTTGCGGGTGGTTGGAGGGCGCCACTGGTAGGTCCTATTTCTGTACTTTCACTCTGTTTATTCTGTCTGTCTGTCTTTCTTTTCCCAGCACTAAGTGAACATTATTATGTCGATGTACCTCTCTTTACTCAAGCAAACAAACAAAAAACTGCCTTGTCTTTCCATGGAAATAGATAGCCATGATTTTGTCCATGTGCTACGCTTTAGCCATACAAACCAACCAATCGACAGAGAAAGTAATCGAAGAAGCGATGACGGCTTTTTGAAAGTCAAATGTTAGAATTTTGATAGACCTGGAAAGAGTTTGATCTGAATGAAATGATAAAGAGGTTCTGTTTTTTTTTTAGAGACAGCCACAAAACGATTCGTCTGGTAGACACGCAGTCCGTATCTATATCGTTTAAGACCATTCTTTCTTTGAAGATAAACACTTTGGTATGTTTCACAAGGCTTGTTCATGCAGCTGACAACCGGCATAGGCATTTAATCCTTAATGAGCTTACCACCAGTTGCCGTAAGTGTTGGATTGCGCTAATCCTCCAGTCATACAAATGGTCGATGTGCGAGGGCGGACTTTGCCAAGGAGTGTAGGGCCAAGCCACAGCTTTAGACTTCATCCCGCCCTGGGGTCAGGTTAATTGTCACTAATCACTGTTACTGTGCTTTTCCTTTTGGCATTTTGACGCATAACGCTGACCCTTACTTTGATGTAGCATGGGCCCTTTATGCGTTTCCAGAGTTGTCTTGGACTCTTAAAATAAAGATATTTTCACAAGTACATGACTCAAAATTTAGGGGTATTGGTGTCCAGAAAAGGATGAGAAGTTTAAATCTTCCCAGTTTCACAAAACATATTTTTTTAAATTATCATTGTTGCGTGATCCCCGTCTGTACTCAGCTTGCCTGGTCCTGTGGTACCATTTAAATTTCACTCCGTCTCGCCTGTGACTCGCAGGAATTCTGAGCTGCCAACCGACCTCTGCACAACCTCGCGTGTCCTTTGTTAAAATCTCGGGATTACTTCTAGTTGTGAGATTGTTAGTCTGAGTCTGGGATTGTGTGGTCGTAATAAAGACGTGCAATAGCTGCTGAAGTGAAAAAGTGGCATGTGATTGTATTGATAAGCGTTTGTCATCTATAGGCTAAGGCTGAAATCTACAAGAGAAGATATTTCTTTAAATTTAGTTACTTCAGATCTGCCTGGGATATCGTATAGTTTGATACGCTGGGCGCGTGTTTTAAATCATCGATAATTTATTTTGCGTGTTCAGTGGTTTTTTGAATACGTTTCCCAAACTTGTTCAATCAGGGAAGTGTTTCTTTGATAGTCTGCTGTGTATTCGCCTTGTGAAATTTCCCTTGGTCTATCCTTAGGGTGATCTAGCTTTTGCTACGTTGTTTTCTATTTGTTTGTTTTGTTTAAGGGGTTTTTTTTTGCGACATGTCGACCTTCGAAATATATTGTAAAAGTATTTCTTAGAATAGAACAGTTGTCCTGTTTAATCTGAGTGAATTCTGGACAATGTAGAGTGGTTTCCTGTGGCCGTAGTGCCAACATTCCCTTCGGACGTCACAGAGACCCTGACATGAGTGCTTTCAGTTTCGTGATTGGCTCCCGGGAGAGCAACCAGGTTCCAGTGGAAATACAGATCTTCTTAGGTGCATATTGATCCCCCCCCCCCCTTTCCCTTTAAAAAAGACCTCTCCTGTGTAGTGTTAGATCTGTTAGTATATTCTCATTTTACTTCCTATCCTTTTCTGTTCTTCGCAAGGCTTCTTCGCAAGGCGTGGCCGTTATTGCGCTGACATTTAGCAAAAGTGTGACTCAGCAAAATTGTTCTCTTTATGTTGAATGTGTTAGTAACACAAGCCCACCAGCATTATTTGTGGGTTGTTGTTTTTTATGTTGGCCTTTTTGTAGTTGGTTAGCTATCGAACATGCTGGAACTGTTTTTTCTGGGAGTGAAATTGACTTCACAACCACCACTGCTACTACCTTCGTTCATCCACTTAAAATAATATAGGTACCCTCACATTAAACATACGGGCGTCTGTGATGTAGCTATTAGGCGCGTTGCCTTATCACGTGAGTTCGATTTCCGAGTGGGGAGAATTTTCATCAAGTGCCCTCTTAAATTATCTAAATTGTGTCAAAAGTGGCTTAAAACTTTTACAATTAAATTTTACATAACGTTAAACAATATTCTCTTTCCATCCTCTTCCAGAGCCCCAAGACAGCAGTTCAGACACGCCTCCCGCTCAGTACGGCTTGCGACTTTCTCCAAAACCTTTCGGCCAGCCGGACAACAGGGCGGTGAGCCCTACCTCAGATGCACAGGCAGTTACATCGCTGGACAATGGTGGGCAGCAGAGTTTTGTGGTTACTTCGGAGGTTGAAAGATCTGGAGAGTTGTGCCTGCCTATCTTCACGTCTGCGGAGCCTACCCCGACGCAATCGACGCCACCGCAGCCTCTCACCGCTCGGATTGAGATCAGCCAGGGAAGCCAGAACGGCGCTGGGCCTGTCAAGATCGCCATCAAGCCAAGCCCAGCACCCCGCCCAACTCACGATATCGTCAAACCGACAGTCTTGCCCCGACAACACGCCTACGCCTCCTCGACAAACGAGAGCCTGGACAGCTCCAGCGCCGATTCTACGCCGCGTGACGCTTCTTCTTCCCAGCGTGTGAGCGTGCAGCGAGTGGAGGTAGTGAGCTCGGTTACCGAGCAGAGTCGAAGTCCTGCGGGCGCCGAAAAAGGCGATCAGCCTCACCTCCGAGCGTTCGAGAGCAGCCGGGGTGTTTTCGAAAACAAATCAATTGAGACTGAACCCACGTCACCATCTGCCGTGTCGCCCAAACCCACGTCGCCCCCTGTTGTTGCTCCCAAGCCAAAACCCCAGTCGTTGTCATCTCCGCAGAGCACTATCAAGCCATCCCCAACCTCTCCGACGGTCTCAGAGTCAAGTGCTGGCGATGCTGAGGTTTCATCTGTTATGTTATCCGCCAATATTGGTGATGGAAGATCAGAGACGGCATCAGAGGTGAAACATGTTGAGGAGGGAGATGAAGTCCTTGTGGAGGTGGCTCAGCCCGTCCAGTCGTCACCCATTCAGAAAGTTCCCCCTCCTGTTGCCCCCAAACCTCGACGCAGCTCTTCGTCTTCCTCTAAATCTGAGGAGACCGTAGAAAATGAGGAAGTTCCTCCTGTAAAAAACACACCAAGGATCAGCGCCGGCTACGAGCGTCTCCAGGCCATTAATAAAACAACAAAACCGTCAAAGATTATCGAAAAGTCGAGAACATTTGTGACCTCAAAAGCGAAACTGTTTGACAACAAAGCTAACGACTCAGAGACTGATCCACCTGCCAAGCAACCCCCGCCACAACGCAGAATCTCAGTGGGTTTTAACACCTCTCAAGGCGAGGGTGCACGCCCTATCAACTCCTCACTGCTCCCGCTAAAAGAGCGCAGAAAGAGTACAGGTGCACCTTCCAATGTCCAGTTGTCACACCCAGCACCACTGTTGTCATCTTCATCCTTGTCCAAGCCCCGGCCATTGTCAGTATCTTCCAACAGACCGCGTGAACTGCCCATTCCCGAGAGTGTGTCCCCACGAGATGGGGACCACGAAGGAAAAACGAAGGTCCTGTCACCGACACGACTCAACTCGGCGCTCTCTCCACGCCACTCATCCTCTTCTGAATCCCCCACGTCACCGCCTTTCTCACCTTCCCCTCGCCAGGCGCCGAAGGTGTCTGAGGAAAGCAAGCGTACTCGGACTTTTGACGGTAAGGGAAAAGTCACTGAAATTGCCGGTACGTTTAGATCTTCACCTGTCACTGAGCATTCCGGTACATTTAGATCCTCACCAGTCACTGAACATTCCGGTACATTTAGATCCACAACAGTCACTGAACATTCCGGTACGTTTAGATCTACACCAGTCACTGAATATTCTGGTACGTTTAGATCCACCCCTATCACTGTGCATGAACATACGTCACTTTCACCTGTGTCACCAAAGCCCGAGCCCACCCCCTCACTTGCGAAGCACTCACAAGCTGTAACGACCAAAAGCGGCACCCAATCCTTCCCGGCCCCTTCCCCTTTAGCGTCATCGCGAACCTCATCTTTGAGCTCCCAACTAAGCGAGGAGGTTGTGGAGGATGCTATGAAAAAGTTTGATGACTTGCTGCTTGACGCGCCATACACAGGCGTAGAGACAGATCCTTCTGATCTGTTATTGTGGGCACCAGTTCGGAAAGATACGTCAGTTGGGAAGGCAGCTCCGGCTGAGACAGGGGATGCTAGCCAAGATATCCGTGGAACTGGTCTAGCGAAACATGTCAGCAGTTCGACTAGTAGTCAACATGAAGTGAAAGATGTTAGCAAAGTATCCATGGAGCTTGCCAAGGTGAACGGCAGTAGTTCAGAAGCTCTTGACCAAGACACAGTGGAAAATTCAAAGATTCCTGAGAAAGAAGATTGTCAAAACAAAGAGGCAGTCTGTGAATATGAGAAAAATAAGGCAAATGCACCTGTGGCAGCGCCGAGAAGAAAACCTGAACCTACAGAAATAACCCAAACAAATGTTGAGCAAGTTCTTACTCCTAGCACAAATGAGACTGTTGAGAAGTCTCAGATCTCAAAGGCGATTTCAGTACCTGTTGACGTTGCTGAAGAAAGTCAGCCAGAGAATGCAGAGCGTGCCGAGCAACAAACCACAACTGAAATGTCACTCCAGGGGCAGGAGTCGGTGACTGGTGGACAAATCTATGTACTGACTGACCTGAATATCGTGTCGAATAATGTCAGTAAGTCGCTGGATAATGACAATAAAAACCAAGAGAAGCTGAACGTCCAATTATCTAGTAATGTTCAAAGCACAGTTGTGGATCAGGCGAAGGAAAAGGAAAATGGGATTGAAGAAAAGTTGGAAAGTGCCATCCAAGAGTCTGAGAGTGATCAGTCTCAAGCAAATGTTGAAGATAACATAATCGCTAAGAACATAGCCTCGGTAATGAACCCACCGCCTTCGGATATCTACCAAAGTCAAGCTCTCAAAATCGTAGAAGATGTTATGGCTAAAATTGCGTCTGACCCGTCTCTATTGAGTTCAGAGGTAAAACACCCTGTGCCCGAACCTACGTCCCCTACGTCATCAGAGGATGAAGCCCCGCCCCTCCCCGGCGCCCCACCCCCACCACTCATACTGAGAGATACCAACCTGTTGGTGACTGACAAGTCATGGCTGGATGATGACCAGGTTGTGACTGAGCCGGCTGCCAAAGTCGAAGAAAAAGACGAAAAGGTACCCGATGTTCAAGACATGATTGCAGATCAACAGGTGGTCAGTGCTGTTGGCGTGCAAAATCTACCTTCCCCACGTGATGTGACTCAACTGGATGCGAACGAAAGCAGTCCTGAAATCTGTGACATCATTAAGACTGCCCCCGTGTACGAAGAGGTAGAAAGCCCAAGCCGGGCAGATTCTGCCGAGCCTCTGAACTCTACAGGCGACAGTTTGCGGGAGGGAGAGGCTGGTCGTGCCCGCTCACCCAGTCCAGTAGACATGCTAAGCGAGGACTCGGGCATGCCAGGAGATGAGGAATTCCCCGAGGTGCACACTGATGACGCAATCTCCCCGCCCGGGGAACTGGCTGAGGCTGTCTCCCAAAATATCACCCAGGAAGCTGAAACCACCCCACAGATATCTTTGCAGAAAGACGTGGCACTCACTGAAGAGGCCCCAGTAGCCCTTGATGATGTAACTATGTCCATTTCGACCGAGTCTAAGGCTGGTCCTGAACTACTGCTGTTAACAAATGAAGATCAAATTGAGAAACTGCCAGAACTTGATCAAGAAAACACTCCTGAACAGAAGGGTGAAGATGAAAATGCTGTGCCCCCTGTATTACCAAGCAGCTTGCCACCGTGTGTCACTAGCATGCAAGTCGATGTCAATGTCACCTCACTTGATGTAGATAACCAAGTTTCAATATCTCCGCCCCAGGTTTCAGATTCCCAGCTGTCATCACAAGATCTCACTTCTTCTGGTGAGATGCCAGGGTTAACAAGTGGTGTCCAAGAGAACGAAGCTGTGGAAATTCAAAGATATGTAAGTGTCGATGTGCAAAACTTGATCCGTCAAGACAGTGCAACGATTGTTAGTAATGTGAGCAATAGTGTGGACAGTGGAATTGTGTCGCCAACCGATTCCGCGCAAGGTACCCTAGAGAAAATTGACTCGATTTCAAAGACTTCTGACGATGCCCCTTCCCAAAATCCCTCCGCCACGGAAGACGCCACTTCTCTGACCAGCTCTCGTTCGTGGAGCCTGTACTCCAACACCTGTCAGGGTCCCGTGGCGAAAGGTAGTGCTGGTGAGCCGATGACCTTGACCCATAACAGTAACTGGCTGAGCACGGCTGGCCTGATCACCCTGGTGGACCGCGCCAATGTGACCCTGGGCCAGATGACAGCGCCCGAGGCCTTAGAGCTGCTGATTCTGCATCTACACAGAGAGGAGGAGAGCACAGGGCTAGGGATTGACCTACGCCACTCAGACGGACACTGGTACAAGGTGAGGGAAGATAGATTGTAGTATTGTTCTTCTTCGCTCTCCCTCCTGCCTCTACCTGGCTGTCTGTCCGTCTACCTGTTTATCTATTTGTCTGTCAGTCCGTCTGCCTGTCTTTTTCAAGTTGACGAATACATGTATATACTTTCGAAATCGCCCTCTCTCTCTCTCTCTCTCTCTCTCTCTCTCTCTCTCTCTCTCTCTCTCTCTTTCTTATTTATAATCATGTTTATTGACATCTGCAGATTACGGTCTTGTATCTTAAACTTAAACATCCCCCTATTATCTTGGGTATCTTTCTGTTTTCCAGCTATACGTATGGAAGCCTATCACTCAGTTCGTGGACTTTTAATGTGACCGACCAAGTCGTGCCATCGCGATCCCATATTTGTTTTAACGATTTTCTGTCGTTTTTTATTTTTTGTTTGTTGTTTTCTGGTTGTTGTTTTTTTTTTTCTCTCTTCAATTCGGTGTTTGTATGTTACCATTGCCTACGTTCCCATTGTTTGTTTTGGTTAGTGTTTTATGGCGCTCGCAACTTCATAAGGTCATATTATAAGCGCGCGGGATACATTTAAAATTTTGTTTGAATTTTGCCTGGGTGGCGACCTAAGCCTACTCTTTGATTTTGGACCACCAAGGGATCTTTAAGTTTAAGGTTCCTAACTTGCACACGGAGGCTCCGATATATTTCGCCCTTGTCCGAGAAGGCTAAATGTTAGATTTTACCTACCCTAAGATCTGGGGTGTGGCTGAAAGGCAGCAGTATGAAGGAGCCAAAGAGTAGCAGTAGGAAGGCTGCAGAAAGAGTCAGGAGCCCAGAGGAGGGGGCAAAAAAGTGGACGGGGTAGAAAGCAGACAACAAAAGCATTGCTAGAGAGAAGGAAAGGAGAACATTTTAGAGAAGAAAACGTTCCGTTGCTTTCAGGTTTCGAACCCGTGACCTATTGATTTAGAGACGAACCCCGTAACCTCTAGACCATGAGAGCCCACGTCCCCACTCTTGCAATGTTTCGTAAAGTGCATAATTTGTCGCCATTTTGTATGTCCTTGTATCATTCTCGCTGGAGTTCCCCTCCATTTGCCAGTGAGCATGTCTCAGTTTGTTAGTCTGTCCCACTGTCTCTGGCTAAATCGGTGAAACGATGTCTGTGTGCTTCAATGTTTTGTAAAAATGAAAACACTTATTTCCTTGAAAGGGACAGTAATTAATCCGACGCACTGTTGTCTTCTGCCTGTTTAATTTGGCCATGCGAGATCGTGCGTGCGTCAGACTACCAAAACCGTCTCAGAGACCTTTCTTCAATTTAGTCACGCCATAGTGTTATTCGAGGGTGCATCTACCACAACTACCTTCCTCTCTGAGTTTGGGAACACTTGCTGCTCTGCGACACTCATGTTATTGTCTTTGTTGTCTGAACAGCGTATAGATGGGGACCGCGATTAAGCCATTACTGTATTTTACCTGTCTCTCGTATTGCTGCTTATTCTGTGTCCTTGGGTTTTGTATTTTTTGAGTGGGCCTACTGTTTAGGCGGTCTTGGTTCTTTAGTTTCTTTATTGCTGTTCGAAAGTTTTGTTTACAAATACACGGGCCCAGTATTACTGTTATCTATTTTGTTCCTGTGTGCCAGAACCTCGGAAAGCCCAACGTTAACTTAATTGATTCAAACTGCCATCGTTTTTGTACACTCTCGGTGTAAACTACTGCTTGGCTACATAAATCTGTTTGATTTATCGTTACGTTTTTCTGTAAACAAAATAATAAATGCACAGTGATGTAACAACTTTTTAAAAACTTTTTTTTATAGTTTTGCAAATGGGCATTTAAATCGGTCTTTTTTTCTGTGTTCCAAATTGCCACTGGAGACATATTTAGATAAAATGCAAAAAGGACTAGGATACAGCTGTGCGACCACAAACAACAACGTGTTCCTTCATGTGCCGGCCAGTTATATGACCTATGCGGTGTACTACATAAACACACGTGTGTTGAAATGCAGTTCCCACATGTTTGCCTTCTGATTAAACAGGCCTATGAGGGTGTTTCGAGCAACTGTTTAGACTGCGTGACTGGTTGTATGATGTTTATTTGGTATTCTTTTAATGCAATCTTTCTGCTGTTTATTTAACGTGTTACTGCTTAAACAACTGCGCTGTACAAGAGCCCCTTCATTAAACAGGCGATTGGAAGTTTGTCGAACAATGTATAATAAATAGAATCAAAGAGCAAAATACGCGGTTATGTATATATATATTTGGTATCCCAGTTTTTCCCTGAGCGTGCTGGTGATTTCAAAGCCCCATAGTTTGATCTGTTGTTTCTACTTCTTGTTCTTGTAAGAGTTGCTTGTAAAATGAGACTGCCATGACACCCGTTTTTGTCTGCCTGTTGAAATGTTAGCTCTCTTCTGTGTTCTAATCATGTCCTTCCGAAACACTCCGGCACCTCACTAGGAGTTCACTTACATAATTTGTATTTTATTATGATGTTCACACCTAACATAACCTATACCGCAAACCACAGAAAGATATATAGTAGTACCAGAGAGTTTACAGTAATACTGGTAGTACACGTGGGTGTCTATGAGTGCGTGTGTGTGTGTGTGTGCGTGTGTGTGTGCGTATGTGTGCGTATGCCCGCGCGCGCGTGTGTATGTCAATATGTGTGTGTGTGTGTGTGTCAGTGTGTGTGGGGGGTGGGTGGTTCAGGGTATTTTGGTTTGTCTTCTTTCGATCGCCGGTACCTATGGCAGGCATATAGGCTTAACAAGTCGTACCTTACCGCTAACTGGTGTGGTCGTAAGGGTTTTTACGTTTCCCGCATAAGACGTGGGTTCCAAATTCAGCATAGGAGAGATATTTTTTCAAGTGTAACTGTCTTTCTCCTACAGTATGTTCCACGCCGATTGGTCAGGCAATGAGAGTCAGGATAGAAGTTTCCTGTATCATAAGTCATCTTAATTATGGTGTTAAAGGGACCAAAAACTTGTACTATAAATTTACTTCGTAGTGTTCGGTTTCAAATGGCCTTTCGCGTATACGCAGGTTAACAGCCTAGAACCAAACACAGTCGCAGACTAATACCGGCGTAATTGTTCCCTTCTCAAATCCCTCATGGGTGGTTGGCAGATGCTCTGTTGTGGTCTGCTCCTTCTTTCCTATCAAAGATATTATCATCCTTACCCCCCCCTCCCTTTTTGTGTTTGTTACTCTCTTGTAGCAACTCTAATCTTTGGCACCTTATTTATAAAAGCCTATTGAGTTGAAAGTGCCGTAAAACAAGTACTAAAACGTTTTAAAACCCTCACAGGTTTCCAGTATCCGCAAAGACAGCCCGGCCGCTCTCCAGGGCAGCTTGCAGACAGGCGACTGGCTCCTGGCTATCGACAGTCTGTGGTGCGATGGAGTCACGTCCGTGATGCGCCTCATGGGTCGTCTGACCAAGCCCAAACACGACTCGCTGCTAGTGGTGGCCAGAGGCGAACGGCCGGGTCTCGCTGATACTACAGGTGAGTCTGATCAGTATTGTTAAATACTTCTTTGACGTACCTGGATAATAGAGCCCCCCACCCCCACCCCGCTTTATTCCTGTCGTTGGCTTTTGGGAGGCTGAGATCCCCTCCCCTTTTTCCCACGGCACATGTTGTTGTTTTTGTTTTGTTTTTCACTTAATTTATTAGAGTTTATGGATGGAATGGAAGTAACGATTGTACATGAGGTTGAAGCTCCTTTTCACTCTGCATGGTCTGTGTTTATGTAGGTTCGGTGTTTCTTTGTTCTATATGTTTCTTTGATTGAAGAAAACAGGAAAGGGATGGTTGGGGGGGGGGAGAGAGAGAGAGGAAAAAATTTGCCTTGAGAATGGGGGGGGGGGGGGGGGGGGCGAGGGAAAGGGGAGTGGGCAGAATAGGGATGAGATGTCCCTAAACGTTTCATGGACAAGTTTGTTTTAGTAAGGTTTTACAGCGCTCGCAACTGCATAAGGTCATATGAGCGCCATGGACAAGTTTGATGCCAGATTTACTCTGTAAGATTGAGACACTGGAGATTCTGAATTTCAGGATTAGAATCGGATGCTGTTACCAGGGGTGCTTGAATAGTTGATTATGTGGTGGTCGGACAGAGATGATGTAGTTGAGTCTAGCACTGGAGAAAGAAATATAGCTCCCAGTAGAGTTTGAGTAACAGTCACACTTGTCCGATGGATTCCTTTGGGACTTAAGTTATTGTTGTTTTAAGAAAGGAGAATTGGACAGACGATTAATGGCTTTTGTCTGTGTCCTTTGATATCCTATGGCAATGGTACCATAATGAGGGCAGGGGGACTGGTACTGGATGGTGCCACTGGCACCTAAACCTGATTATTATGCTCTAGAGCAGGGCTCACCAAACTACGGCCCAGGGGCCAAATCCGCCCACGAGGTCAGTTTGTCTGGCCAACCGCTGTACCACCATAGGGGGGGGGGGGCACTTGGAAGATGTTTTTGTAGTGTGCTCAGGACTTGATCACCAACATATGTAATCATGTCATTGAACTCTTGAGTGCAATTTAATCGTGATTTTATAGACTTAATTACCTCCTAGCCAATGTGTCAAAACTTTTGCTCGGTTTTGGAGTGACAGATCTTTCACTTTCAGTTAACACATGTCCTACCGCAAAATAGAATCCCCCGTATGTCCCCAGTCGCCCACACACGGACATTCCAATTTTGTTTTGCTTTCTACTAAAGCCCTGCCTCCCATTAGTTAATGCTGTGGTCAGATGTGGAGGCCTTGATGAATTGCAAGCATGTTTTATCTCATTTTGGTTGTTGACAGTGCATGAAATGTTACATTTCAGATAGGTTTGTGGGTTTCAGCGTCTATATTAAAATTTTCAGTCTGGTCATGAATACGCACAGTTCTGATATATATATATACATGAAATTTTTGTCATTTTTATGGGGGTAGGAGATGTAGTGTGTGTGTGTGGGGGGGGGGTGTATGTGTCTGAGTGCGTGCGTGCGTGTGTGTGTATGTGTGTGTGGAAGTATGTATGTTTGAAAGTGTGTGTCTGAGTGCGTGTGTGTGTGTGTGTGTGTGTGTGTGTGTGTGTGTGTGTGTGTGTGTGTGAAAGTATGTATGTTTGAAAGTGTGCCTCTGTATCTGTAAGGGGCGGAGAAATTGTATCTACTCAATGTCCACTTCCTGACTATCCCCCGCCCCTCCCCTTTCTTTTCGGAGGCAACAAAATAATTTATGCTTACATTTATATGGAACACTGAATCATGTTGCTTACTCATGTCCAGTCTGTAAACTTTGGAAAGGTAAAATGAACTTGCTGACAACAGATGTTTTTTTTTATTGACTGTTATTGGCTCGAGGCCATCCTGTGGACAGGACTATGAGTATGCTCTTATGTCCATCTCTATCACTTGTTTCTGTACGTGTGTATGTTGTCGCCTGCCAACACGTTTATCTTCTCACTCTCTGGGTAGGTTACAATGTGCTGGTTGGACCATTTGCATTACTCCCCCATGTTAAGCAGTCACTACCCCACCCAACTGTAAAATGAGGCTCTTAGTCTTAAAGACTTTAAACAGCTAGTATGAATGTGTTTCTGTTTTAAGGTGGCAATGCTATTGTCCTGAACCTGCATCTCCTCTGTTGCTTTTCACGATGTCCCTAAAATTTACATGATAAAATCGATGGCTATCCAAAATGTTACCATGTATGAATAATTATTATCAAATGAACGCACTATTACGAGCTAAAGTTTGTTGTTTGTTTGGGTTGTTTTTTTCTTTTACCCCTCATCATTGCTCGGAAACTATTCCCGTATGCGTGGGCCATTATTATACATGTTTATTGATTTCTCACTTTGCCTACCAGACGTAACTGTATCTGAATTTCGGTGTCAGCTGGACTCCCCGTGTCCTCCACCAGCCAAGAGTCAACGTGTGTCTATGATAGCTCCGTATGTTACGTCAAAGCACTGTCCCCCCCCCCCCTTTTCGCGTCGTTCTCATCGTCATCCCGTGTTGCACCCTCGATCCATCACCTCTCTGACCTCAGGGCACACACCGCCATCTCCGAAGTCTGTCCTCGTCTCTCGCCCACCCGGCCAGTGTATCCCAGTTGGCCCAGCGGACTCGTACGCTTCTCAGCGCAACCATGATAGATAATGTTGACTGTGTGGCCTTCAGGCAGTGTATGGATTTGTTTACGTGACCTTCTCTGACTAATTCGTCGACTTGTTTATTCTGGAGTGAAGTTATGATAGTATTGAGGCATCATTTTCTGCTTTTATACATTATTTTAGTTGGAGTGTTGTTTTTTAACGTACACCAGCTTTTAAATAAAAGGTGTAATGTTATTAATTAACTCTATATTATGTAACGCTTAATTCAACTTGCAATATCTTGCTCAAGCCGAAGCGAGTGACTGTGTTGTTACCCCAACCATCGTCCTATCCAATTCGAATCCTTATGCAGTTTTTAGTAATTCCAGAACACCAGGACCTTTGGTTCATTGTCTACTAGGATGAAAAAAAAAGATTAATTGTTGGAAAGTTTCAGTAATGTCCATATTATATTACATTCTTTGCCTTAATGGTACCTCTGTGCTACGGCATTGTATTCTTAGGTTGAAAGAATAATTTGAAATATAATTCTATGTCCATGTTTATCTCTATTTCGTTGTGATTCCTTTTTGCTTGTGCGGGGGGGGGGGGGGGCTGAGCCTGCCCGTTTTAGTAGTGTTAGTCTTTTAAATTTATACTCTGCCCTTTTAGGTCAATTTTCTCGTTAAAGCGCTCAGAGTTCAACAGTGAGAAGAGAAGTGAACAAGAGTAATTTGTCCGCCCTATGATGTAAAGGAAACTCGTGGTGCTGATATAGACATCTACAAGTAGATCTAGCTTATGAATCGATGAGCGTGTAATATAAAAAAAAAGTATGTAGGGGACGGACACGCTGGTATGGTTTGCTCCTACTTTATCGCCTTTATTGTTACCCCTGTCTTCGTCTTTTTAATTGCTTTTTTAAATAAACTTAAGTTGTGAGATTTTTCAGTAAATTTGTGCTTTTTATATCTTTTTGGGGGGGGGGTATTTTGGCATTTTCACTTTTGGCTCTTGATATCTGGCACCTTCCCAAAGGATATTGGTTGCCATTCTGCCATAGAAACCTCTGTGGCGAGGAGTGTTTTTCCGCACTGTAACTTGTGTCTAGATCGGGTTTGCTTTAGTGTATCAACTGTGTGATGCCTGTCTTTCTTCTTATTCTCGTTCATCTTCAAATGGACATCGCAGTCTATGGTGCGAAGGCTGCTTTTCGCCGCAGGTCCTCCAGGCCTCCATAGAGTTTTTGGTCTGCCTGCCTAGGGTTGGGCCAATATTTCTGTCTAAGCGCCTCGAACATTGGGCAGGCTTGCAGCAATAAATGGTTCTTTGTTTGAACGCCAGTTCCGCACTGACACTGCTCTGAACTTCCCGTCTTGAATTTCGTGTAGAGTTGGTGCTTCGGTCAGGTTTGTCTTGTTCTCTCTCTCTCTCTCTCTCTCTCTCTCTCTCTCTCTCTCTCTCTCTCTCTTTTCCTTCTGGCCTTGTGACGTCATAATTCGTCAGCGATGTCAACAGCACGCAGGAACTCTATACTCGCTCAGTGGTCGTTGGATAGTGCTGTTTGTTGATCGTTGAAATGTCCCAGCAGACGTGTTTGGGCATGACAGTTGGCAGGACATTTCGGGAATACATGGTCCATAGTCTCGTTCTCCTCTCTGCAGGCTCGACAGGACGGATCTTGGTTGTCTGCAGGCGCGATTTTGCGTAGATACGATTTCAGCTTTGGCGATTCTCCACTCAGTTCTTAGTCTGAACAAAACAACCTGCTCTTGACGGGTGAGGAGGTAGTGGGGATCCTCCTGTTTGTAGTGTGAGAGTTGTTCCTTCCCCTTTGCTGGTAGCCCTCTTTCCATGATGGTTTTGGTCTCCAAATGGGTTGTCCTTTTTTTTCATGTTGCTTAAGGTCTAGAATCAGCAATTTGGGTTTGTCTTTCGAGACACATTACGTGTGTCCGATGAAGTGTTGTTAAGCTCTAAAAGTATGGAGAACTAGTTTCTTAAAATTCAAACGCTAATATCTTTCTCCTGTACAGATCCCCAACGTCCTACCCCAGTGCCGAGGCCTCGGTCCGTGGTAAAAAATTCCTCTCCCGCTGAGACCACAGAGCCCTCAGGTGTCGCGGTGGAAGAAAAGACAGAAGGTGAGTGAATTTCTTGTTTATGGGTCAGACAAAGGTTTGAGCGCCTTTGAATACAATGTGCGGCACCCGTCGCGGTACGTCAAAACGAACATTGTACAATATTTTATTAAGATTAGATCTTGACTTCTTTGATTTAAGTCACTTGTCCATGTTGTAACCGTTTGAGAGATTTTCAATGATTTGATAGTTTTAGTAAATTGCATCAAAGTGATCGCAAGTATTACATATCTTGAACTTCGAGACGTATATGTTATTTCGATTTTGTTCTCCAATTTGGGGATGTGGGCTGCTGAATCTCTTAGTATGCTGTTGATCAATTTTTTTATTTGTACAAATCATTAGTCTGTAAAAAGTTGAGGTGAGATTATTACTGTGCATCAAATATTGACATTTGAGTTTTTCTATAAGAAGGTAAAAGAGAAGGTAAAGAGTTGAATGTAAGATGTTGTGACCATATTTACCAATATGCCTCCCCTTAATTCTGTGCCTTATTTGCCATCGACAGTGCTCAGCAAATTGTTCAGTGCCATTCTGTTCTGTCTTAAAAGCCTGCAACGAGGACAGTAATGTCTATGTTTTCACTTACTTTTCTCACTTTTTATGAGTTTGCTTTCACCTACATGAGCCTTACAACATGCTTAATGTCAGTGTAAGGTGAGGATTTAGGATAAGTTTTAACTGAGGCTTATTTTCATTACTTTATGAGATTCACTTTATGAAAAATTGTTGACAACCTTATTTTACATTGTGAGCATTTTACCCATATTTGTCTGTCTTATTCATCTGCAGCCAAGGCAGCTCCTGAAGAATCAAGCTCATCTCTCAAATCATCAGCAGAAGATTGTGATTCCACCCCTCCCACTCTCCCCACCACTGCACCACCCCCACCTTCAGCAGCATCGACAGTACCGTCTCCTCCACCCAGCCTCGCAAACCCGACTGACACTGCAGTCAAAGCTGACAGCAAACCACCAGCAGCATCGACAGTATCAACAGCAGCAGACACAACTACAGCAACACCAGCAGCTGCTCCTTCAGATCTCCCAGCTGGAGTACAGAAGGTGATCATGCTCAAAGGGGCTACAGGAGTGGGCTTCTGTCTGGAAGGAGGCCTTGGCTCTCCCAAGGGCAATCTTCCCATTGCCATCAAGAGGATATTTAAAGGTGAGTTTTCAGCCAAAAAGACAAAAAAAAAAAAAAAAAGACCCGAAAAGACACTAAATGACCCAAAAGGACATACATGATTTATTTATTCATTGTTTATTTATTTGTCACAAACAGATCGATAATAATATAGGCTACACAGCCGTGGACAAGACATGACTCGGACCCCACCGTATTGAAGTGTCCTCTGAATGTACCATGTTTTTTTTGGTCGAAAAACAAACATCTGTCCTAGCCTAAATACTCATTTCTTTCATTTGCTTAAAGGGGGGTATTATTATCGATCTGTTTGTGACAAATAAATAAACAATAAATAAATAAACCATGTATGTCTTTTCGAGTCATTTAGTGTCTTCTCTGGTCTTTTCGGCTGTCTTCTCGGGTCTTTTTGGGTCTTCTCGGTAAAAATAGTACCCCAGAGGAGGGGGCAAAGGAGGTGAGGGGGTGGGGCAGAAATTGAAGACGAAAGCAGATGACAGAACATTGTTAGAGAGCAGGAAAGGAGGTGAAAGGAGACAATTTGAGAGAAGAAAATTTTTCGTTCGCTACCGGGATTTGAACCCGAGACCTTTGAATGAGAGGTGAACACCTTAACCTCTAGGCCACGAGAG